GAACAGTCCCTTATGCGTGTTTATTGTCGTGAGTTGCATGGCTTCCTCATCCAACGGAAGCTGGTTGTGTGGCTCCCGCAAGTCTATCGTGGTAAAAACTTCACCGCCATTTAATGTAGCCAGGATATCCTCCACCCGTGGCAACGGATATTGCTCAGTGCTAGAGGCTTTGTTGACCGTTAGCTTAAAATTGCCGCAAAGGCGGATGCAGCTATTTCGTTTCACTACTGGTACCACTGGCACTGCCCGCTCCGCATGAGGCACTGGTACAATAATACTGAAATAATGTACAATAATGTCTGAAAGACAGTCCAGTTCCACGTCGAGGTTTCGCCGAAAAGCATACGGAACTTCGCGTGCCTTCCAAAATTTCGGCATCAAGTTTTCTCGCATCTCGAAATGTATCGGTGGCCCTTTTATGAGCCCTAAACCTGACGCGAACACATCAGCGAATTCCGCTTGCAACCGGTCCACGTTAATGTCGTCAGCACCGAGTAACCGCAGTTGCTCACCTGACGTGTTCACGTTTATTACCGGTGCCTCAAGCATGTGGAACGCTTGAATCAGGTTGCGTCCGCAGAGGTTTGGGCCGGAGCAACCAAGGACTTCCAAAGATTCAGCCGTCGACCTGTTTCCGCACGAAACCTTGAGCTGAAGTTGTCCCCGCACTGCAAGCCGTCCCAGGAAGCAGGTTAGTTTCAATGGCGAACCACGCAGCTTCGGCCACACTGTTTTGCTCCGCTCATATGTGGGCCACGTGACGACCGAAACCGGTGAGCGTGTGTCGACCTACATGTTCACTGGAACCCCGCCGCAGTGCGAGGTGCGCACGACATTTGCATAATGCCGACGTGGCCGATGTGACTGTCCACTGCCTGATACCGTCCGTGCCAGTGTCTTCCTCCCGCGACAAGGCGTGTACTTGGCGTTCTGGTGGTACCACCCCGAACCCACTCTCACGGCGGCAACAGGCTCGAGCAATATGACTTTGTTGTTTACACTTGAAGCATGACGCCGAGCAGAAGCAGCAATCCTCGGGTCTGTGCCCTTTTTATCCGCAGCCGTAACACACAACAATCTGTGGCTGGCTTCGTGGGCGATAGGACTGGCCTCCCAGCGCATGCACACTTGCCTCAGCGGTGGGGCTTACTATCTCTTGCACGTTAGCCTCGGCCATTTCAGTAGGTATCGCAATTTCTTCCGCTTTGCTCCTCGTCAGCTGTGATTTCGCGAGTAGCTGCGGACGCACTCCGACGTTGTGAAGAACACACACGATGCGATCTCGTAGCATTCTGTCTAACGAAGCACCAAAATTGAAGCTGTCCACTATCTGTCGAATCGCCACGATAAAATCTGTGACCGGTTTGCCGGGCAGCTGATTGCGGGTGAAGAACTTATGGGACTGTGCTATCTCGTTCCGTTGCGGCAAGAAGTGCTGCTTAAGCAAGACTATCACTAGTGGGTACGAAAGCTCATTCACCTTATCTAGAGCACAACGTCTGCTCAGTACCTCGACGGTGTGGGTAAACAGTGCCGTAACCAGCAGGGCCCGCTTCTTGTTGTCTTCCGTGATGCCATTTGTCTTGTGGCTAAGGTACTCGGCTGCTGACCCGCAGGTCGCGGGTTCAATTCCCGGCTGCGGCGGCTGCATTTCCGATGGAGGCGGAAATGTTGTAGGCCCGTGTACTCAGATTTGGGTGCACGTTAAAGAGCCCCAGGTGGTCAAAATTTCCGGAGCCCTCCACTACGGCATCTCTCATAATCAAATGGTGGTTTTGGGACGTTAAACCCCACAAATCAATCAATCATCCGTGATGCCATTTCCCTCAAAGAAGGCTTCTAGCCGAACCTGGTACGCGGGCTACTTGTCGCTCGTCTCGTCGAACTGCGGCAGGCTGGCATATTCTCCCGTGGTTGTGGCGGTCATGACGGACAAAGTTGATGCACCTCTTTCATTCCATCTTCGTGGCCACTGAAACAAACACGCCGGGACCGTGGCTGGGCCAAGATAAACGTTTATTGCCATGGCGCGGGTTTGTGTAGCATTGTGCGAGAGGGGTTATGGGAAGGGAAGGAGAAGAAGCAGTGGTGATAACGGTGACTTCGGTTGGTGTAACGTCACGGATACATCAAGTTTAATGTTGCAGAAAGCCAAAATATGGGCTTCAGCATCATCTTTGCAAAATGCCACAATCACTTGGACAGTTCTAATTTAGAATCACTCAAGGTAACTAGTAGCAATCATGACACTGAACGCAGTCTTTGCAAGCTTCATCTTCAGCTCTAGATACTCTGTGGTCTGGCACAAAAACATTTCCTTCTGGTTTCTGCAAGCCATGATGTTATCCTTTAGTGCCCGCCACTAGTGACTGCTTCTGTGGTGCACTTCACCTGCCCAGCGAGGTGATTATAGCCGTGCATGTCACTGAAACCAGAGCTGCCAGCATTGTTGGAACCAACAGAAGAAAGAGTACAGCGAGATAGAGCAGCAAGAACGACCCTTCGCAAGGACAAAATTTCGGTCATAGTTTGCTACTCGCAGCTCTGGCATTTGCCTGCGTAAGCATCATAACGTATCCTCACACACTTCAGTATTGCAGTGTGCTAACTACCAGATTTTCACGTGCCTTCATGGACTCGATTGCTCTTTTCTTGAACGCTACAGTGAACTGTTGTCAGTGACTGGTCGAGAGTGAGACAAAATGTAGTTCAGAGCCCAGATAGATTCTCTAGACAAGTACAAAATGCAAAATGAGGCCGTCCATAGCACAAAGCCGTGGGTAAACAAAGTGACACAGATAACTACGTTGGAAATGGAGGTGGGTTACTTCAGTTGTCCATAGCGGCCAGACTTCTGAAGTTTTTCAGCTGATGACTGGTGTATAAGACGGGGGTGGCCGTCTTACTGCGAATTCCTTTTTTTAATTCAGCCAATATTTCAGTTATTCTGCCAGTCGTGTCATCTATCATCACGGTACAATACTCACATGACTACGAATCATCGAACAGATAGCCAGGTGACTCAAGTCATGTAATATCACATAAACCTAGTCATTCGACTGAAACGACATAACATCCCATAATCAGTGACGTGTCTAGTGCATAATGTGGGGAACTGACGGAAACAGAAGAGTAGCCAAGTCTAGCTATATATGGTGCTATTAGCAAAAACTTAGCATCTTTAGCAAAAGCTTGGCATTACTAACTAAACTTGGCTTCGGCGAACTTTACCTCAGCTAATGGTTCTAGCCTTGCACCACTAGCGATCTTTCAAGTTCTCGTCAAGGCATATACAAATACTGCAGTATTCATTAGAATATTTGAAGTGCTCGAATACTCGCCCAAACTTGTCATACATTACTTGCTCAAATATTTGAATTTGTCTGATTAAATATTTGCCTTTTTAATCACATTTGGCTATGACCGAGTAGAAAAGTCAAATATGCATTTTTCTAATCGAATACCCTTTGAATAAGGAAAATATCCACTTTATATTCAATATTCTGGATATTCCCTCATCTCTAGCAGGCAAATGCATTTCAGTTGGGATATATTACAAAGTTGTATTGCATTTACATTTGTACCAGCCACGATTGTATTGTGTGGGTGTCATTTGTGAAGTCGCCAAGTTTCACCGAAATCGGCCACGAATTTTTTGTCGCCTTTTGGAGCTTTCAATGGCGTAAAGCATAGGTATTCGGTAAACATTCATAAAAAAAATAGTGCATGTGTTCATACTCAGAGGCAGTTGAAAAGAGTCAGATGACGCCAACAGTTATGGCTGGGATTTGTAATGCAGGGGGCATTCGTTCAATTGTCTGTGGCAGGTCGTCGTTTCCATTTATATTTACACTATTTGTACGTGTCACTTGAATTCGCACTTTATTGCATCCACGTGTCTTACCTTTCCGCCCACCTCCTCATACACTAGCTGCTAGAAAAAAGTCAAAACACTCTGGTTGATTCACTAGCAGGTAGAAAAAAGTCAAGACGCTCTGATTCATTCTCAGCCACAGTGACTGCATTTTGATGACACTGGAATCTAAACAGGCCTATGCACTTAAATTCAGGTTTTTGTTACAAAACACCAGCATGATCAAAATTAATCCAGAGAACCCACAATAGTGCCTAAATATATAGTGGTTCCTAACATATAGAATCGCACAGCACAGAATACAGGACGAAAAACTCGAAGAAGCAGACAGGGACAGCGCTGACTCTCAACTGAGGTTTAGTGCATACAGCATATGCACAAAAAACTAATCGTGAGCAAACGAAGCAAAGACAAGAAGTACCTCAATCTGTTTACCGTGTATGCATGACTTACAGGAATTCAACTTCTTTATCACCTAATCTTAAAGACGTCTCTCAAAATTTGTTAATATGCCACTTCTTCGGGATAAGTTTCTAGTTCGCGTTACTGGGCGTATCTAACACTTTCATCTTGTTAAACAGTGGCTTGCGTTGATGCTGTATGCAATGAGTTACCACGTTCGATAATCGATCATCGTTTTCACATCTCATTTTGTGCTCTGGTAATCTTTGTGCACTTACCAGTTTGACTGATGTAGTACACTAAAACCCGGATATAATTAGTTCAGTTTTATTGAATTACTGGTTACAACGAATTGATTTTTAGCTTTATCAGCAATAGTGTTACAAATGATCGTTTATCACAAATTTCAGGATATAACGCAATAATGATCGTTTATTACGAATTTCAGGATAGAACGCAATATTTTCACGCAGGTACGACTTTTATAGGGACGTTTGAGTGTATAACTTTTGTTGCATTAGAGGAGTGTTGCCCAACACATATGCCGCACCACTTTCGTGACATAAGTATTGGGCAACACTCCTCTAATGCAACAAAAGTTATACACTCAAACGTGGCAAAACTCCGCATTTGATTAGCCAATCTGAACTTCTCGTTCTTGCCGAGTGTTTGTCGGTGTTCACGGTTGTGGATTGATTTTTTTTCATTTCTTTGTCCCCTTCAGGTGACAATTGGTGAAGGTGTGACATTGACGAAGGAGGAGCTGGAAAAACTTTGGCAGACGCCTAACCTCAATGCAACCAAGTTTGTTCGCAGCCTGTGCCTGACTGTGTTCACACCTGCGGGCCTTGAGGGCAAATGCCTAAAAAGAAAGGGTGGGAACAGAAACAAAGAAATCTTGGATCCGGTTCGGCTGAAAACCATTATTGGTGAGTTTACGTCGACTAGAGTTCATTGAGTTTTTTGGGGACCACACATGAAAACACGAAAAACACACCTCATCGGAGAAAATGTAGCATTTTATGGAGCCTGTGTGAATCTTCAAACAGTTTGAATAGTCAAATGAATGTTATCGTAGTCAAATTCGCTCTGGCACAAACTTGAGAAAATTTTGAAATTTTAGGGCACTGTAGGCTATCACTATTTCATGAGGGGTTGCCAGAATTATGAATTACAAGTACCAGAGATTGTTGAATCACTTCGTGTCAAAACATGCAATTAACAAAGAATGCGACATCTCGCACATTGCATCAATTTCTAGCACAATGTATCCGTGTAAACAAGGTAACCCGCTTGGAAGGTGCATTATACTAATGCACTGGAGGGGGTGGCGTTGAGGTGTAACTCAACGCGCGAGCCATAATATAGTTCTTTTATAAGATGTTGGGTAAAGATTGTTGTTTTTTCCCACTGAGGAGGTTTATCTTATGAAGCAACTGCAAAGGGACGCGACTGTACTTCAGTGCTGTCACGCACAAGGATGCTGCGGCCGGGTTCATCGACTCTCCGGCACGGTGCAGAGATGGCACTCGAGGCAGGTCAGTCAAGAAATCACGGGTTTATTTATTCAAGATAAGAACTCTGGTTATTATTCAAGACAAGAACTCTGCAAGACCGACCGAGTGTGGGTAAAATAATCGTCACATAACGACATCACATCATGACGTCACAGATTGCTAGAATGTGTGCCGTCAGAATGTTGCCTCTATGACAGCGCTTAACGTTGCGTTAAACGATGTCGTCGCTAGGGGCCGATATAGCAGGCACGTGAGGTGGAGAATGTTTGAAATGCCTCGGATCGAGGAGTCAGTGCAAGATGACACTAGGAGCAAAAAAAAAAAATCCTTGAATGGCGGATGATCGATACATTCAACTTAGAAGGAAAAAGAAGATGGCTTTTATAACATGGTAATTTTAGCACTACAAGAGACGTACATATGGGAGAGACTCATGTGAGAGCCTGTCCTTTGTCTCTGACATGTGTACTTCTCGTGTAGTGCTTAGATCACAATGTTATGTAATCACCAACTTGCCCTAGGACAAGTAATTATTAGGATGGCTTTTGCATTAAAGTCACCTGAGGTGAATAGTTAAAAGAGCAGTGGCTCAAAGATTCGGTGCCTTGTCTCTTTTTCGTTGCAATGTTGCTTATGACCCACTTATCACGGCTGGAAACCTCGTCTGCAGCGAGTGCGCGATGGGTATTTATTCAGAGATGTTTTTAGAGCGCTCAGTCTCAGTTTCGGTTTCAAAGAGCACGGCAGCTAGGCAGTTAAACGCAGCTGGCCAAGTGACCGTGCGAAACGGCGACTTCCAACCAGCACACACGAAGCTGCAGGCACAGAGTAGGAAATCGCTCGGTTTGTGTATGGTGGCGCTGTGTCGACGTCAATGTCACGAGGAGCTCCGCATCTCGCTCAGTCACGTGGTGCGCTCTTCAAAATTGTTTTTAGTTATGTTCTAGACTATATTTATCCTTGATATCTTGTAAGTTTTCTGTATGTCTCCACATAAATCTATCTCGCTCATTATCTTGCTTTCGAAATTTCGTGTCAGTGCTCGTTTAAATGCTAGTTTTTTTTATAATAGTGGATTAATGGATGGTAAGTGTGACCCCTTTACAGCGAGATTGGGACCTGTCTTGCACCAAGCTAAAATTTTTATTATTGTTATTATTGTTATTATTACTGTCATTATTATTATTATTATTGCCATTGTTAATAATATTATTATTATCTTCATCACCATCATTACATTGTCAAGCTCGGTTAAGCTTTTCTTCCTGTATAAAAATACTTGTTAATTCGCAGCCCAACTTTCCACAACTAATCTTTCTGCTTACTTTTCTGAGACTAATCCTCCGGTTGTCTTTTACTTATTTCTCTCCTTGACCTTCTACTGTTCCAATGTTGTGCCTAAAACCCAAGGCTTCCACTTAGGCTAGGGTCGCAAGATATACCTGAGTAGATATTTTCCCATTTGAGTTAAAACGTACTCTGCCAGAACACTTTCTCTTGCAGTCTGCTATGTCCACTACTGTAAAAAGGTATTCACACTGAGGGAGAAATCTACCAGGGATGAAGGCGGAGCCTAGTGACGTCAACAGGCGAGGAGAAGTACCTCCTAATGTCCCTCACTCACATGGACGAAACGAATGGTGGGGGAGATCAGTGTGGCCAGAGCGTCCGCCATGCAATGGAGCGGGAACACTAAGAATCGGTTTACCCCCAGCCATAGATGTCCGAAAGCTTTCGTCTTGGAGGGGGGGGAGGGGGGGAGGGGGGTCAAAGTCGCGTTGTGTTTCGACTGGAGGAGGAGAAAAGCGCTGGTGTATCTTAAGTAAGGAAAGTGCTGGTGTGGTTTGTGCCCCCTTTCACCCCCGCCCTGCCATTTGCTTCTTTTGAACTTTCTTGTTTACAAGTTTTTTTTTATGCAATGCAGACGCGGCATTGGCCTTGGCTTGACTCGCCACCACAAGTTTCATTTTTTGTAAAGACCGCCCAAAGTGACTTTCCTGGCAGCGTCGTTGACAACGGCCTTTTTTTTGTTTCAGCTGTGAAATGGCTCGCAGCCTCTCTGACTTGTCAAAGACAAAGAAAGAAAGATAGAAATTTCAATAAAGTATCTTTCAATGTAGGTTGGCTTTCTGTGAATTAAGCAATTATGCTATCATAGCATTTCTCTCATGAGAACAACCGAGGGTTGAAGTGATCTAGCCTATTGATATTTGACACATATCTGTTCATGTGTTTCATTATAATTTCGAAACACAAGGTAATAGAAGGCCACTTTTGTCTTCACTTCGCGAATTCAGCCTATGCAGCCGATAAAGTAAAATGTGAGGTACGTCATGTTTCTAAATATAAAAAACAACCCCTTGGATTCCATGACTGTCTATATTTTAAGCGTCTAATCTTAAATAAAGAGGCCCATTAAAACAAACTCTTTAAAAAGTAAGACATCTCCATCAAGCTGATTAAGCAGAACTGTAGCAGCAGTAGCAAGAACAATAACAACAAGAGCAGGTGATGTCACAATTCATATCAGAATAACCACTTTAAAACAAAACTAAATATCACTCCATAAAGAGGGTAGTGCTCCATAATCTGCTTGGTTATCTCCCACACACCATTCTTTCAGTTAGTTTTACTCTAGTCAATCGAAGGGATGTCCCACAAGCAAGGATATTCTTCCACGAGTGAAAAGAAAAAAAATGTTGCTTCATTGTTCATTTTCGCCATCACTGTGCCCGCAAGTCCGGAACGCAATTTGGAAAGGCTGCCGCCGCTGCGTTCTGCTGGAGAGAGGGCTACAACGTGGCAAGACACCCACCCGAAATTCCACTCTATTCCCCACAGCACGGGGATTGTTTCACTGGTCGGAGAAACAATCCCCGCCTCTCGCGAGGAGGTCGCGTCGGCACACTAACCTGTAACGCCTGTCATCACGTGACGCACCATCCTCGCCTTTCCGCCGGGGATTTCTCCCTCATGTGAAAACCACTTAAAGCGCCGTGCAAGCACCCCCAGATCTGAAATGAGCGCCAAATAAGTGCCAATGACTGGTCCGCGATTGAGAAAGTGACCTCTCCCAAACCTGTTTGGATTATCCTTCACTGTAGGGGGGCGCTTGCTTGACGTTCTATGGTAGTATCCTCTAGAAAGTAATTTTCCAATTGATGAAGTCAATACTGACTTCAGGGCTACCACACATTTGCACAAGTGTAGTCTGTACCTTATTATTAGACTGCTCTGTTTTTAGACTTGAAGTTAAATGTAGGGCAATATAAAAAATTGTCTGATCTTTGCATGGGTAATCTTTACTGTGTCGTAGGAAATTTTCTAAAAATGGGTTGGCGAAACTGCGTTGCACATGTAAACAGCACCATCAAAGGGAAGGTTCTCTCCACTAGCCTCCTTCACTGCCTGACGTCCGCTGCTTCAGCTTATCTATTTGAAATGCTCATCTGAGGCACAAAAAAAAGAAAGCAGCTGTGCATGCATAGTGATAGGTGGTAGAGAGCCTACATAAAAAGGGTTGGCACAGGAGGCTAGATCCCGTCCAGAGGGTACAGAATGCATGAGTTACCCACCTTCCTGCCAGTGTTGCCAACCAATTTTTGGAAAGTACCCTACGCCAAGATAAAAGTTACCCTACCTTACCCTACACAACTCTATAGGAGGGGCAAAGCTCCTTTTGGTAGAGGCTTGTCTGTTGGTATCGGCATCAACGTTGTGCACCGTAGCCGCCGCTAACGGTGACTCTGATGACCAAGAACAAGCACATTCCACACCACAGATTCTCTTTCTGCCATCACGACACAGCACATGCAAGGTACCCACTATAAGCCATGACGATGACGCTGATGATGATTGCGCACAACCACTGGCTTGTGCAGTGTATGATGTCTCGAAATGTTCTATGATTCATTTCGCACGACTCGAAACGACCAACCACCAACAAGGGAACGTGCACAGGCCTCGTCTTTGCCGACTTCGGGTTGGATCCGATACCAAAAAGCAGTAATAATGAATGCAAAACAAAATTCACGAATCAACGCAAGACACCATTTACGACCTATAAACACTGTGTATAACTGCACATTGCTTGGCACTCACTTACAGGGGTAAGTAAATGCTTGTGCCACACGTGTGTGCGAGAGCAGACGGTAATCAGTGAGACGTGCATCGCAGCCTTGTGTTTTCGCGTGACTAAGCCACTTACACTATCACGTCAGTGACCAACCCAGTGCCTGGAAACCCAAACCGAAATTTGCTCTCATAAACGAGGCGACATCAAATTATTTAGCTGTGAGAATAATGAATCTTGGTGCGTGCATCATGCTGGTTGCAGCTACTATAAGAAATGCTTGCAGCAAAGTACGTGCAAGCCATAAATATTATGGCACTGCCCCTTTAGTCACTGAAGCTGACCAGGGTAGCAAAATTTAAAAGCCTCACCACACAACAAACAGGTGGAAAATGACAAAAAGGAAAAAAAAATTCCTAGAAAAGAAACAATAAACCTAGCACAGCAATGTCTGATGTATTATCCTTTGTGCTGGTGACATTGGAATTAAGACAGTTTCGATTCAAATTTCTCCAGGAATGTTACCTTTTGATATGTCGTGTAGACCTGCAATATTCCCTGATCAATGATGAGTGAAGTGCCAAAATAACCCAATGTTACTGCCCTAATACTACCCTATACTGGCCAAAAAATTCAAAAAATACCCTACGAGTAGGGCAATTACCCCACAGTTAGCAATGCTGCTTGCTGCACCCCTGGAAGAACTCGCTTGTTATGGGTGCTGACCCAGTAAACAAATTCTGGTGCCGTCTCTGTCCTTAAGGAACTTGTATTACAGTGGGGTAGTTGTGTGTGCATTTTCTACAAGAAGGTGATGCCTCCTACACTTGAAATAAGGCTCTTCTGCAACAGTGGGACAAGTTCCTTGCTAGTCTGTGACAAACAGGCAAGTTTGGTAGTCCTGAGGGGCTCCCGTGCCCCCGTTTCAGGAAGGTGATGAAACTGTGGGCCGCCTTGACATTAGCACCGAAAGGCCAAGCCTCAATGCCGTTTTATGCACTCTTTGGACACCCCACACTTAACGTGAGAGCTTGGAGTTCTGCAGTGCAGAACTGCGGAGCTCCACTCTCCTTTGGTGCTGCTATGCTGGACTTTTTGTGTACTTGTAGACTTGTTTCATTTTCTGTGGAGTATGACAAAACCAACCACAATGTAAGCTAGTCACAATGATACTCTTCAAAGTATGCTTCTCAGCAGTGTTGTTTTGTTAATCTTGTCAGGATGCTGCATGCCATGTAAAGGAAATGGGAGAATTAAAAAATAGTTTCAATTATTCAAATAAAGAGACTATAAGTACGAATGGCTACATATTACTATCAATACTGTTTTTCGTGGACTTTCCCTGTGCCTTGAAGCCAAATGAGTCGTTAGGCAACTGCTGCATGATTCCATGGAAAGGATGATCATTGGTGCTCTTTGGAGCATACAAGTGAGGGCTGGGCACACAGATTTTCATGGTATACATGGGTTCCTAATGACACACTTTGGTGGCACGTCACAATTGCTGCATAAACAGGCTCATCATAAGTTGTCTGCACATGTAAACTCATACCTCATTGTAGCAAAGTTGCACCTTAAGCGAAAATAAGTTTGTTATATCCAAAAACTTGTTATAAAGGTTTATTAAATGCAAAGCATTTTTAGCAAACTTCAGCAAATTTGACCATATCTATCTATCTATCCGCTTACGACTTCTAGTTATCCTGGCCATTTGCATTATAGGATCTATACCAAAATTTGTATGGCATAACATGACTGTATGACGAGCATAAGTGACTAATCATAACATGAAATTCATTGCATGCATGTCATGAATGTCACAATTTAAATGTCATGGTCTTGCTGCTCCTGCGGTGGTTTCGTTCACATGACATGTAGCAAAACTGATGTCGTATGACATGGACTGCATGGCAAACATAAGTGACAGGCCCTCAAGTTGAAATCATGACATGCATGTCATGTAAGAACATGACTACCTGCCATGCTCATGATGTGCTCGTGGTCATTTTGCTAGCTTCATCTATATCAAATTTGGTGTTATGTGACTCGAACGAACGACCAAGGTAAATGACACGTCCAAACATGATAATCATGACATTCGTGTCATGTAAATCATGAGTACATGCAACGCCAATAGTGCTCTCGCGCCCATTTCGTAGCATCACATATACCAAATTTGGCGTAGCATGACGTGAGTGGATGACGAAGGTATATGACTGGTGCAAACGTGATAATCATGATATGCATGTCATGTAAGAACATGACTACATACCACATTCATGATGTGCTCGCGGCCGTTTCGCTAGCTTTACATATAACAAATTTGGTATTACGTGACGTGAATGGACGACGAGCACAAATTACATGGCGTAAACATGATAATCATGACATGGAAGTCATGTACGGCATAATTTACGTCTGCCTCGTAACGTTGAGCAGATTTGAATTTGACAATTGAGCCTTCCTCATTCGTGCTTCGCATATCATCGTTCCCACTGTACGTGGGATTTACCCATTTTTTTCTAACGCTATATCTGTTGCAGGACTACGTTTAATTTACTTAATTATATCTGGTTTCGTTATACATAGCGAGGTTTGAGTATACGCACGCACACGCGCCTGCTATACTCCCGCACAGGCTTCCGGATGGCATGCAGCATCACGAGACAGCACAGCACTTTCAGAGTTTCAAGCACTTCATTTTAAGTAATCCATCAGTGCAAAACTTTATGTTACAATGCAAGCTGCAGTGGCCAGAAAGGTACACCAAAACTAGCATAATAGAAAGTATTATTGTATGTGTTTCCGGTGGAGAGACAGTGCTCCCAGATAACGGAAGGTGCTGGCCTAGTACCTGCTAAAGACGGCTTTAGTGTGCGACTACGTCACGAGCCCTTCAAAAGCAGCCTGGTTCAATTGTGCTAACAGTATATGGACTACTAGAACAATATTTAAAAAAATTTGCATGTCACAAAACAGGCACTGTAACATTTCTTGAATGGCATTTCAAAGGTCGACATTTTATTGTCGTACCCTTAATGGAGACGTTAATTGGCTCCTGCAACCTTCCCATTGAACAATGTTCTATAGTTTCATGATCATATTGCAGTTTTGGTGTGTAAGCCCCCTGAATTATTATTAGAATGATTTCAAAAGCATTTCCATTTTTGGGCATGTTAGTAAACGAAACTCGCAAGCATATTCAGCGCTACCAAACAAAGTCGTAAGGGAGACGACACCACAATGAACTAACTTCGGCAATTTCATTTTTGGGAAACAACAAACTATTTATTCATTCATAGTGTTGCCGTCGGTCTACTCACTAGCTGACCAGAAAGGCCGTCTCCCTGTCTAAGAGGTCCATTGATGATGCACTCGCACACGTTTCTCTATTACTGTTTTCACACACATGTTAGCGCATTGTGGTATCTCCGTTACATCCTTGTTTGCTAGCGCTGAATATGTTGTTCTATTCGTGAAGATATGCACGTTGCGAGTCCAGAACAACTTTATATTGTGTCAACTCAAAATGTGTAGAGTGGTTGAGCAATCACTTTGTTGTGCAGCTGTATGATATTACAGCTTGTGAAGAGTTAAAGGTGACGTTCTGGTATAACGCCATTGTGGCTTACTAATTTCATTGGTGATTTGATGGGTTTTTATTCTTTGCAGACTACACATTATCGCAATTTGACGCCAACAATTGCGATTTGCGAAAAGCCATCTCCTCCCTGCTATTCCATCAGCGCTCGGGAACCACTCCGTGATTGAGTTACTGGATATGAACATCGTCGAAGTGACAATGCAGCCTCATTTTGTATTTGTTTTCTATAGCTTCATTGTCATGGCTATATCTATTATAAATGAGTTCATTTCATATTCATTTCTTGTTCAAGTTCACTTATTGCATGCTGCTGTAATTCACATGTCACTTTTGTTGTGCCAAAAGAGTACACACAATAAATACAGTCAAACCTCCTTTTAACAAACTTGCATCTTCTCTAAAATAAGTTCATTATAACGTAAATTTTTAAAAGTTCTATTCTTAGCACTAGTCTATTGCAAGACTGCTTTTCATTTACTTTGTTATAACCCATATTTTGTTATATCTGGGTTCAATATCTCATGGCTTGGGTGTATCAAGCTGTGATATATGAACTGGTTCATAAGGTAGTAGAACATGCTAACAGTATGTTTGCACAAGTGAGTGATTTTATTTTTAGAATGCTTTTTATTCATTGTCATGTTTTACAAAATGAATTACAATACTGCGTTTTCAAAACTGATGTGCAAGTCTGTGTGGCCACAATGTAACTTCATTTTTGTGGGGCATTTAACTGGATTCTCATAACTGTGTTAGTTGTGTGTGTATTCATCTTGTTTTCATTTTTTAATGCATATTCCTACATGTGTCTGTAATGTTCCGTGTCGTGTTTGTTGGGTCAAGGATAGCAGGCAATCTGATGCCCACTTGTTTACAACCGAGCAGTGTTCTAGTTCGATTTTCATGCCAATAAATGTGTGCTTTTTTTTGGAATGCTGCTTTATTCGTTGTGTTGCTTTTGGAATCGGATTGTAAAGGGGATTCTTCCTACAGTGACCTATTTCTTACAAGTTAATCAGTTTTGTTGTGGTTGCAGAATAATTTAGCCAAGGATAAAAATTTGATTGTATATTCTGTTTTTTTATTTGCAACATCTGAAAATTGAATAAGTAGGAAATAACGAAGACTGTGACATTCCACGAGATTTCGTACTAGAAACTGTACCAACTTCAACTACTCCTCGACATTTTGGGTAATCATTTCAGCACATGCTGTTGGGCGGAAGGGGAAGTGATTTGTAATCTTCAAAAACATTTACAAGTCGAAGTTCAAGAGAACAAAAATTTGAGCTAAGTTGGTTGGAATTCGTCTTGAAAGCAGCGGAGCAACACAAGGATGAGGAAGGATACAATGTGACAGGGACTGACCCGCAACTAAGAAGTTTATTGAAAACAACACACTTTTATATGGCGTTGGTGTGCACGTGGGATCTTCATGTCTAAAAGTGTGAGTTGTTCCTGAAAAACTTCGTAGCTGCGAAGCAGCATTCATCCAGTTACTTTCTTCGATGCACTGTTTCGAGATGAATTTTGACTACTAGTCAAGTTTGGTGGGCCATATGGCAATCGGAGCTTTTAATGACGTTTTATAAGTGCCAGTCATCCCTTTTGCATGAAAATCTTCGGTCTTGTTATTTCTTATTTAGGTTCTTTTTTTCAGCATTGCACATCAAAAAAAATAAAGTGGGCCTGTGATTTAATATCCTGCCCAAACCTGCATTAAAATTGGATACTTTGAAGGCCCCATGACACCAAACTTGGAAACTAGAGAGGCTTGTGTTGGTTGATAGTCGTGCAAGCGGGACCACGGACCACCTCTGACCAATGATTAGTGGCAAGGGTTGCCTAGAAGATATTTTAATTTGGTTTTAAAGGAAGGGTGGGTGCTCCTCCGAGTATTCAGGTACAATCATGATTTTATGTGGTGTCACGTAGACCGGGGATTCCCTTGTGACGTCGCAGAGGTCAAGAACAATTGCGGGGCACGCAAAATACCCCGATGGGTGAGGACTATTGTTCATCACCCCTCTGGCTATGTTGACAGGCTGCTCTCGAGCTGCTTTAGGCTTCTCACACCAGGAATGCTTTTCTTTTTTCTGAGGGGGCACTAAAAGCACACACATCGTTTCATACTTCAATGCCCGCGGGTCCCCCTATTTGAAAACGGCGTGTTTCAGTGTCACTGAATCTTGAGCGCACATAGTCTCTGGCGCTGCTCCGTTGTGGGGCGCTAGTTTCGGATGGTATTTAGGCGGGAGTTTCGAACTGATGCAAAATCGTTCAGAATTAAGGCCGCTACGCTAGCATTAATTATACGATGCATTAAAGCATTCGAAATATGACCTTGGCAGTACTAATTGTACGATGCATTAAAGCATTTCCAGTATGATCTTGGCATTACCAGACTCAAAGCTACAAATTGCTGTAAAAAAAAAGCCAAGCCTGTGCTGAAGGCGCAGTAATGTCACTGCGAAAGCTGAAAAAGCGGCCTTTCAGAGCCTTTTCTAAACACTTATATAGTAACTGCTGCAAGCACACTTGCTGGGTACCCACTACGGCATTAATAATGATAATTTATGGCTAGTAGACTACAGTTCGCTATGTTATTTTATTTTTCGTCATTCTTTTGAGAAGCGATGCAGCAATCCAGGGCGTATTGAGAGGCTCGAGTAGCGAGACGCAAACAGCATCTGGACACCGAATGATCGCGCAGCCATATCCAAGCCGGAATCCTATTTCGAGACATGAACATTCCCTACTTGTGTATTTTACTCTGCATATGCTCGCAAGTTCCCCTTCACAAATAATATGCAAACGCGTCTCCATATACACTATAATTGAATGTGCGCGACGTGCTTCCGACAATTGATACACGCGTAATGCCTGCGCTCCTGTACAATGAAAGCATGACGTCTATAGCAGATAGCGGGCTTCAAGACCATGGCGCTCTGTGAGAGCTACGTATCGGCGCTCATAGGTGAATTTAACCATTAATACAGTTCCCTGTAGTATCACAATCATTTCCTTTTTCTTTTTTGCCCATAATTTTGCCAGAACTGCTGCTTGGGCAAGGCATGTTTAGGATATATTTACCAGCGCAAAAAGATAACACACTTATGAATTGTTTGTTGTCTCTACGTGTGTGTCGCTGCTTCAGCGTTTCGTCTTTCTGCGCTGGGAGATCTATCTTCATCGTCCAGAATGATGGATGCTAATTCCCCGATGAAGCAGAAAAATTTCCTGCATGGAACATCGTGGTGTCAAGGGAACGAAATTATACACGGAGCACAATGCAATGAAGAAAACGCGCTTGCTGGGGCTGAAAGGACCACTTGCGGCGTGAGTTTCTCGGGCAGTTTCGGCTGCGGCGTCTGCAACCGCCTATGGTCGCAAATTTCGACTTCGCTCGTTAATAACCTGTACGAAGGGCTTATGCGGTGATTGGGTGGGTGAAAAACTTTATTGTTGTACGGCAAGACGCACGTAGCGCACACTTTGACTCGCACATCAAGAACGCCGGGCCAAGCTTGTCGGCCGCTCCGCTTTGTTTGGGTGGTGATTATTTTCCTTTTGAAATTTACATAACATTTAAATTAGCAAACAATGTTACTTAATTTGTAAGCCAGCATGACACGAAATAAATAGGTGGGGGTGCCTTAGTTGTGCTAACAGACTAATATAAAATGTTTATAGAAAAAATAATAAAAATAACAGTTATAGTAAAGAATATATAAAATATACCAATGGCAAAAGTAAGTAACGAGTATGTATTTGTGAGATTTCAGCCTAAAAAGAAATGCCTGCACAATCGGCACAGGCTACATTCTATCCAAGGCGTGCTGGTTGCCGAGGTTGCCTGGAGAGATTAGCCAGGGGTGAACAGGGGACGGTGCATCAGGCTGCGGATGCGCTCGGTGAGCGCTGTGCCGCAACAGAACCACTGCTGCCATCGCGTTGTGCAGTGTTAGCCAAGACACCAACACAACCATAAAGTACAGCTGGTGCAAACTGAGAAAAAATACCAAGACAGCCATCGCGGTGGCGGAGCGACAACTGCGTAAACAACCGCAGCCCACAGCGGCGAGAGCGCAGGCTTGGAGGAGCGGAAGCCGGTACCGGGAGACGGGCTTTCGGCTCGCCTCGACGCAAAGCGTCGCTGCGATCACCGCTCACCTCAACTCGTCCGTGCGAGTTCATATAAACTCGGGCGCGTCGAGGTAAGCTGAACCCACCACTCAACTCAGCCCGCCCCCGTCGCGTCCATGTACACGGGGCTATAAACTCGGGCTCGTCGAGGTAAGCTGAACCCGCCACTCAACTCAGCCCGCCCCCGTCGCGTCCATGTACACGGGGCTCAGGTAAGTATGCTCTCGAGGTGCACCCAAAGTGGGGACAACACGAAAGTCATACTTCAAATTCTTTAGGGCTGTTAGCTCCCCTCGTCAAAAACTTTGGACACGCCTGACTGACGACGGCCTAGGAAGAGCTGTTTGAAATCGAGGCTGCTTGATTTGTTCGATGTGCCACGAGACGCGCTTGGGATCCGTCGTCAGGTATGTTTCCCACACTATGTTGTGCTTGCAATTCTTCCATTCCCACAAGCCCTAGCCTGCCTAGCACTGCAGACCCTATTCTGCACGTGCGACGCAATGTTATTGCACTGTGCTGTGTTGTGCGTATTATTGCACTGTGACCTACGTTGTGTTCTCTCTCGCCGTGTGGTGAACTGAACGTGCATTCTCTCTCTTCCTGGGTTGAAAAGAAGGCAGTATTTGACTTTTCTCGCTTTCTCCCTATCTCGTTCTTTTATCCTTATTCGCTGCGCCCTGCGCTTCCTGCTGGGCTGCAGAAATTAGGCGCCTTATTCTAACCACTACCCCCCCCCCCCAATTCGGCGGACGGAAATGAAGACGACAATAGACCTCTACCGGGGTACGTCACAGCGTGACGTCACCGGTGCACGTGCAAGGAGGTGGTTGGCAAAACACTTCCGCCGGGGGCTGAGTGGGGTGCAGTCGCTTGGTGCTTGGGGCAATATTTTTTTTCTTTTTGAAAGCGTAATCTTCATCTCACAGTGGCAACATTAGCTGTGGCATGTGTCAGAGAACATCTAGGTGTGTGATAAAGTGCGTGATGAAATGTTCGCCACGCTGGCCGGCGGGCTGTTTTTCGGCTGCATTTCCAATGGAGGCGGAAATGTTGTAGGCCCGTGTGCTCAGATTTGGGCGCACGTTAAAGAACCCCAGGTGGTTGAAATTTCCGGAGCCCTCCACTACGGCATCTCTCATAATCATATGGTGGTTTTGGGACGTTAAACCCCACATATCTATCAATCAACCAGCTGGCTGTTTATCTACGAGAAGTCAACACACGTGGCGGTTTGTGCGAGGAACAGCTCCATCTTCTTTGAAAATGTGCAGTGTTGACGGTGGCGTGTAGTGTGCGTTAAAAGGCATCCACAATATTGGTTCATCTTTACAGACGGTAAAATTGGGAATATTGTGCATGGTGTGTGCAGTGTGAATAATGCGATGCGTCCTGTTTGCGAAAACACTGGTATTCATTGTGGGCCGGTTTCAGTATCAGATTGTCGATATAACTTTACGATCTGACATTTTAGTCAAGGTAAAAATGCATTTGACGCGGTTATCCGCGAGTGGGTACATCTCAACGTATGTGCGGCGTGCAGAAAAATAAAAGTGCATGATATCCTGGTGATATATACGACTACGCATGAGCTATAAGCATGTTGTAGCGTTACCGAATCTGCATATATGCTTCACCACGGCTATAACTCGTAATATCGGATACCTGATACGTGTTAATGGAAACAGCGGAGATTTTGGTTTCTCATCATGTAATTCATGTCACAAGTAACCACGGATATCCGTTAGGAATACGTCGGGACGTCCGTCTCGGATATTCCGGACATCCATCA